CTATATGATTAATCCTAAAATTCTAGTAAGTTCGGGATAGGTGTGTGAAAAAAGCTACAATTCATCGGTGTCATACATTCATCGAATTACAGTAATGAACCACTAAAATATTCTTTTCTGGCTTATCCATTTTCCATATGTGTAGATCTGTGCATTTTAAATCCCTCATATGGCTAAATAGCTTTCGTCGTATCAGCTTTTCCGAGCTGTTGCCAGTGTGTGGACTGATATTACAACAGTACAGCCATACGTTAGTATTGCTTTTAGTTCTTACTTTAACATCCAATCCAAAAAAATAAAAGTGAATACGTATCTTGTTCTGTTTGAGAAGTGGGCTTCCTGTTGTGTGAACTAATACTGTACAGACTGTGCGTATACTGGATGTTATGCTGTCATTTACTGAAGGCATTTATTTTCAGAAGCCTACCACTATAAATGGGTGAAATCAAGTGATGTAAGTATAAAACTTGGGCACTGTGGTAGAGTATAACTCCATTATGGATTAGATTTTATTTTGATAAATCACAGTGTTATACAGTAATATTAACTGATGACGTTTCGAGCACAAATTATTGCTCACAATCATATCAAGTTACCCACAACTTTTTCTTTCATTTATATACATGTGTGGAACTGACTAGATATTTGAATAAAAATCAATATGTGATAATGTACATTCAAAAATAATAATATGAATATTATTGGTCAATTACAATCAGATGGGAAATAAGACGAGTGTTAGGATGTTGTGATGTACTTGAATTGAAATAGAATTTTGAGATAATTTATAATCCTCTGATTTGACTGGCGGTAATAATATCTTCCATATTTCTGTTATTTGCATTGAGTCATTTCTGTTGCATGTGTTGGGTGTAGACTTAATGAACGAGGATTCAGTAATGAATCTCTCTCTCCACCTACATAGATTACTTCTTAGAATCTCAACCGTCTCCCACCCTATTGTGTGGTTGTGTGTTAATGCATGCATTGTAATTGCTGAGGTTTTTTCTAAATTACTTATCTTCTCGGGTCAACCATTCTTACCTTAGCTAAATTCTTATGTTCCGACAATCTGATTACCCCCGATCTACTAGTTTGACCTACATAGTTGACCCCAAAGTCATTGCAAGGTATTTTGCAATTATATCTTCTTGTTTAATTGGGTCCACCGAGTCTTTTAGCCTGCAGAGCTTGTCTCTGAGTTTGTAGGTTTGGATGCCACTGTAATACCTGCTTTATTAAGAGTCCTACGTAGTGTCTCAGATGTCCCCTCTTGATATGGCATAACAATAGATGACATGTTCTCTCCTATTTATGTTATTATTACTAGTTTCACAATTATTTTTATTTTGCTTCTGGCTTTTTCGATCATTCCTAATGAATCTTATACGATAGTTATTTAACACCAATGCCTGTTCTATCTGTTTCATCCCATCATTTAGGTCTTTTTTGTGCTACTTAGTGCCACTGCTCGGTTTGTTAAACACTTAACTAAGCCTGCCTTTATAGACAACTAATGAGATGAATTAAAATCTAAATATCTATTAGAATGCATTGGCTTTTCATAAACGCTAGTGTGTGGTTTACCTTCTTTTATTCGTTGTATTTTATAATCTAACATAGCTAATTCTCCTTGCTCATTTTCCGATTCAAATGTGAATTTTATTCCCTCTACTTGTGAGTTTATATGCGTCAGGAGGCTAGAGAAATATTCTGTTTTTAACACTGTGAAAGTGTTATCCACATATTTCCACCATATTTTTGGAGTGGGATTAAATGTATTAAGAGCAGTATTGTTGTTCTAAATTTCACTATGGGAATATTTAATATATTGAAATCTCGCGGGGATCCTATTGCATTTAAGGCACTCAATGAGTACCTGAAATTTAGTGCAAGGCTCGCTGAAGCGAAAATATCGTTGGAATTTTTCAAAGAATGTGTAGAAACCGAACGTTATCCCAAACTATATTGGAGGTCGTTAAGACGAATGAGGATTTACCCTAATTCTAAGAATTTAAAAAGACATGCTCTTAATCAGATTGATTCTGTTAAAACTCTTATAAATGATCTAGAAAGGAATATATCACAAAGACAATTTTCAGTTGATGATTTACCTCAGGAATTACAATTGATGTTCATTGAATATGTTAATAACGTAACAGTAAACAGAAGTAATAATAAAAGGATTAGTCTTGCCAAATCTCTCGAAAGCCAAAAGCTTGAAAGGAAATTTCCGTCAGATCCGGGCCGGTATGTTCACAATTTTTCCAGTATCGTGCTTAATAAGTTTCAATTAGAGGTGTTATCCCTAGGTCCCAAATTTAGTGATTATGCTCCTAAAGTTGATCAATTAGACACTGATATACAGTTTGAAAATTTGTATTCTCAAACGTCAGATCTTACCCCATCGTCGGACGATGAACTAACTAGGTTCAAAACGACGCTAGTGGACAGCTGCCAGCAATACAAGAATAATAAGCATTCAGTAAATAGTCTTTTATCTAAACAACACAGAGAAGCTCTAAGAGAACTTAGAAGCAACGAAAGTTTAATCATTAGCAAGCCGGATAAAGGTGATGGCATAGTTTTACTGGACAAAAGCGATTATGTTGAGAAAATGGAAGGTATTTTGAGTGATCAAACTAAATTCCAATCGCTTGGTGTTTCCAAAGACCTCAATGTAAGAGCTGAGAAACAAATGACGGACTCCCTCAAAAAACTGAACCAAATAGGAGTATTATCATCAACCATATATGAGTCCATGAAACCTACGGGTACCAATACTCCACGTCTTTACGGTCTACCAAAAGTGCACAAACCGGGTCTTCCTCTTCGCCCTGTTTTAGATATGTATAACTCTCCATTTCACGGAACAGCGAAGTGGTTAGTTAAGATCCTGGGTCCTTTGCACAGAGAAATTGTGCAACATGGAATTAGTGATGTTTTCGACTTTATTTCTAAAATATCTGAGACTAATGTGAGGTGTAAACGCATGTTATCCATGGATGTATCATCACTATTCACTAACGTACCGCTTTTGGAAACAGTGGATTATATTTGTCAAGAAATCACCGATAGGCAATTAGACTTAGGAATTCCCTTGTGTAGCCTCAAAGAATTACTTCTTAAATGCACAATGAATGTTCACTTCGTCTTCAATAATTCATACTATCGACAAGTAGATGAAATAGCTATGGGTTCACCATTAGGCCCAATATTAGCTGACTTCTTTCTCGCAAAACTTGAAAACGGGAAATTGAAGGATACCATCAAGGAGTTGGATATGTATTACCGATATGTCGATGATACATTTATCTTAGCTGATGAGAAAGTTAACATAGACGAGTTGCTACTTAAATTCAACAACATCCACCCTTCGCTTACCTTTACTTGTGAAGAGGAGCAGGAGAATAAACTACATTTCCTGGATGTCTTGCTAAGTAGGAGAGAAGATGGGTCACTTGGGAGAAGGGTGTACAGAAAAAGCACATTCACAGGGCAGTACACACACTTCCTTAGTTACGTGCCCATTAAATATAAAAGGAATCTTGTAAAATGTCTCGCGAGCAGAGCAAGGAAGATATGTACGGATGACCTCTTACAAAAGGAATTTGAATATATTCACGATTCCTTGACGGAGATGGGTTATCCGAGTAGCTTCATAAAGAAACATATGAAACCATCAGAGAAGAAACCTGTGACTCTGACTGCACATAAGAAACCTCTATTTATTAAGTTACAATTTAATGGGGACTTATCTAGTGAGATTCTATTCCAAAGACTTTCAAGGAGCATACGTAGAACATTTTACGCAGCACACCTATGTTTGTCATTCTCTAGCCGACGAATGATTGGGACGCAAACGAAGGATAAGCTTGATAGTTTTGCCACATCTATGTGTATTTATCAATTCAACTGCACCTGCGGTGACAGTTATATTGGGCGTACTACTAGACAGCTTAGCCAACGTGTTAGTGAACATCTCCCATCGTGGTTTGGCAAAGGACAGACAAAAACAATCTGTAGCTCAATTCTGTCACATCTAATTGATAGTGGTCATGTAGTCGATAAAACGAAAGCCTTCAAAGTAATTCATCGTATCCCTCCGAATCTTTCTAATAGACTTCGTATTCGTCTACTGCGCACAGCTGAGGCGATAGGCATTTGAACTATTAAACCTAAACTATGCATTCAAAAGAAGTTCGTGCAGCCATTATCCCTCCCGTGGCCTAATAAGACATAACCAACGAAAGACTTCTACCCCACCCTTTATTTATATTTCCAACCCCTTTCTTATCATCCCTTAATCTTATCTTATATTCATTATAAACGTGTTTCATTTCCTTCCCCTACAATCTAACATTACGTAATCGGTTCATTTGTTTTTACTAGCCTTTATCGACTACTTCCACCTGAACAATTGTTTGTTTAATCATACTGTTTTTCATTATTCATGTTATCACAGATTGCCTCATTTTTTCATCCTTATTATTGATAAGACCATTATTATTATTATTTCTATTATTAATATTATCATTACCACTATTATGACTAACTGCACAATTTATATTCACCATCGTATTATCCTATAGACAAAGCACCATGATTTGAGTTATGTAGAGTGATAAAAATGTAAAGATAATGCTGAATTATCGCTGTTATTATTACTGCCCAATTGACAAGGATATATGTTCTCAAGACCAGTATTTTTTCAATCTACCAGATAATGAAAGAGGGGTTTCATTGAAGATACTAGCTATAAATACACGCCACTGGTTAGTCGTGGTTAATGGAAATCAATCAACTAATCTTTGTGCGACTTATGAAGAAGTAGAGTGGTGACTGTCAAGTATTTCTAATGAGTAACTATTTTTGTTTTCATAAAACTTTGTCAGTTACTGTATCTATTTCCATTCACCTTGATTTATTGATCTCTGATTTTCTTTATTGAATAGGTTGCATTTTAAACCATATTCGTACGTTGTCCCGGAGATTAAAAAATGCCCGGTGGATATCTTCCTGGTCTCCCTCCTGTCTATCCTAACAGTTGGACATCTTCAGGATTACCTTCGAACATGTCTGACCTAATTCCTGCGGACGGAAATTGTACTGATGGCATCCACTGGATTTGGATTTCTATGGGACAGTGTGTTATGGATGCTCGTGGTGGTGTTGCCTTATTCTGTGGATTTGTTTGTTTACTTCTTTGGATTGCAGTAGGAATACCTCAGATAGTGGAGAATTTTAGAACAGGAATTCCAGATAAAGCTCTTTCGCCTGGTTTCTTAGTACTCTGGACTAGTGGTGATGTATGCAACTTGATAGGTTGTTTTTTAACTCATCAACTTATAATGCAGGTTCGTTCAAACACTTTGCTATAATATGCTGATGTTAAGTGTATAAAATTTAAATTATCATGTGTATTCGTTTTATTTTCAAAGGTCACACTTATTCTATAAAATATCAAGATAGATATGTATATGTGGTGGGTGATGATTGATGCGATGAAAATGATGATGAAAGGTTGCAGCAGGGTTTCCGTTTTATCTCTAATCATCACCCATTACATCAATAGTGTTCTACCAATCTAGAAGTATCTCAGATAATCCCACTATTAATACTTTTACGACTTGATATGTTGGTAAGCTGTAACCTCAGCGCTCATATCATTCCCACCTTCGTATCACCTTGTAGACCTTAGTGGATTAGCATCAGTGTGAAGATACGGTCATTCGAATTTGATAGGGCCTTTTGTAGGATCTGATGGTCCTGATTTAAGTCTCAGATTGGATCGATGAAGTAGCCCTTTAGCACTTCCCAAGTTTTATTACTGATGTTGATGCACCATTGAAACCACTTTTAAGTCAGTCACTCACATTATTTTGTAACTGTGTAATAATTATTAGTTAGTTTTGTAGATTACTGAATTAGGTCCAGATGCATGCACAATAATTGTGTAAAAGACTGAGTTGCTTATTATTTTAGCACTAAACTAAAGAATTAAGGTACTTCGACAGATATAAATTTTCTACGCACATCTTTTATTCTGCAGATAAATATCATTTACTGTCTGTCAGCCCAATCAGGTTTATCGATTGTATATCAATGTTTGAAAGAAAAGAAAATTCAATGGAAGATATTACTACAACAGTGCATTTGTCGTATTGAGTTCGACAGAATGTAATCTGTTTTCATTTTATTTTATCGAAACATCACTAGAGAATGATGTCAGGACTAACTAATGGCTGACCAGACAACACAGAAATTCAAGTAGCCACACTTCAAAAAAGCACACAAATTTTCACTGGATAAAACATGAAACAGAATAGTTAAGATCATTAGAGATTTTAAAAATTTGGTGGGGGTGGGGGAGGGATAAAAAGGGCTGAATACATCTTCAGCAATGCAAAGAGTCATATAACGATGAGTCTTCAACCACTAATTCTTAGCGTTGACTGACTGGTTTGAACGTAGAACTTTTCACAAATGTGCAGCAGTTGGCGTTACCACATTCCTTTCATCTAGCACACAAAGCAAGAAAAGAGATTCAAAAGAGAGATAATAAACAGAAATGTGAGGCAAAAAGAACAGTAATATGGAAGAACGATAGAATTTTTTTATATGTTATAAATCACAAGGACTGGATGCATCTGCGCCAGCCATTGAGAACGATTTTGAGCCATATCACCAATTGTCTCCAGCCTTCATTGGTTTTTACTATCCTGAGGACCCTAACCAGGAAGTCTACACCTCCCTACTTGGCTTAAATTAACTGTTGTGGATTTCATTGACTGATGCCCTGTTTTCATTTGATCACCACTAGCTCTTTTACAACCTGATCCTATGTCAGCTAACATTGATCTTCAAGGTAGGCGGTGGCTAGGCATACTTAACACATATCCTAACCATCTCAAAAGATGTAACTTCGCAACCTCGTTGATTGATTTCCCCTCCCTACCTAGCAACCGACCGATGCCAAACCTCAATATAGCTCACCCTATCATACCACGTAACATGGGGGATAGAGCTCAGGCATCTATAATCAAAGACAGCGAGCCAGGCTTTTCATGTTTTCCACTTTCGATGGTCATGTCTTACAGCCATAAAGGGGGACAGAGCGAACTGCTGGGCAATACACACGTCCTTTGATCGATATATATAGCCGGATATCACATCTATTCCAGAGATGGCGTAAGTTGGTACATGCCAAATGAGCCCTCTGTATCCATGTTGAGATTTTGTCAGTCATTAACGCGTGGGGACTGATGCTACTTCCCAAATAAGTGAAGTGGTCAACACGCTCTACCAATTCACTCCCTATCTTCAAACTAGGAGTGGTCAATGTAGTCCAGTCCACATTTGACAGAGGGAGCGAGTCGCATGCCAAACATTCGCAGAATGCTGCTCAGCTCAAGGTGTTCAGGAGAGTGCATTTTGTCAGCGTCTTCGCCTGGAAGGACTGTCATCTGCGTATTCTAAGTCAACGAGACTATCTCTTGGTAACAAATCAATCACTGAGTCGTTGAAGTCAGTTAGTGTTAAGTCCATTAGTACATCTATGATAAAATCAAACAGAAATGGGGGGGGGCAGTGTACATCCCTGACGGACACTGCTGGATGTCACCATTTCAGATGACAACTCTCCGTAGGCTCTCACCCGGCTGACTGCATGAGTTCGAGTAGAGTGACTGCCTTGATCACTGCGATGTATTTTCTCGGCATTCCCTTCACAACCAAACATCGCCATAGTACCTCTCGGTCGACAGAATCGAATATCACTTTCAGGTCAATGAATATGACGATCACCGGACGTCGATGGTGAGTATGCCTATGTTCCAGAATCTGTCAAGGGGTGAAGATATAATCAATACACCCTCTTCCTGGTCTAAAGCCTGCTTGGTTCCCGTGTGTTTGTTCCTCCTGAGCACTACTTAGTCTTCGCATGATTATTGCGCCTAGAATTTTAGATACCGTATTGGTCAAGCTGATTCCCCTGTGACAATCACAGGAAGATGTGTCTCCCTTTTTGTATATTGGAATGATCAATGACTTACATCAAACTGACGGGATTATCCCTGATTCCCAGACTGTCTCTGTCTGTCTGTTTTCGACATAGAACTTTGCACAAATGTGCGGAAGTTCAAGTCGCCACATTCCGTGTAGCACGCGAAGCAAGAGAAGAAAGTACAAGAAAAGCATAATAGAAACAGTGAGCAGAGGTGTGAGACAAAGGAGTAATAAAGAAATACAAAACAGTTTCATTGAAGATCATAAGTCACAGGGAGTGGATGCATCTGCGCCACTGAGAACGATTTTGAGCCATGTCACCAATTGTTTCCAACCATAGATTTTTACCGTCCCGAGGACCCCAGCCTGGAAGTCTACACCTTCCTACGTGGCTTAGACCAACTGTTGTGGATTTCATTGACTGATGCCAAGTTTTTGTTTGACCGCCGCTAGCTTTTTTCCAGCCTGACCCTATATCCGCTAACATAGCTCGTCGAGGGAGGCGATGACTTGGCATACGTAACACATGTCCTAACCATCTCAGTCTTTGTAGCTTCACGACTTCGTCGATTGATTTCCCCTGTTTACCTAGAACTCTACGCCTAACCTCCATGTTGCTCACCTTATTATGCCACTTTACACGGGAAATAGAACGCAGGCACCTATGATCAAAGGCAGCTAGTCTTTTCATGTCTTCCACTCTCAGTGGCCAGGTCTCACAACCATAAAGGAGGACGGAGCGGACTGATGAGCAGTACACCCGCCCTTTGGTCGATAGTCGAACATCTCGTCTACGCCAGAGTCGGCGTAAACTAACAAATGCGAAACGAGCCCCTTGTATTCGTGCTGAGATTTCGTCAGAGATCAGCCCGTTGGGGCTGATGGTACTTCCCAAATAAGTGAAGCGGTCAACGTGCTCTACCACTTCACTTCCTATTTTTAAACTAGGCGTCGATGTAGTCCAGTCCTGTAACATCATCTTGCATTTGGCGGGAGCGAATCGCATGCCAAACATTCGTAGATTGCTGTTCAAGGTGTTTAGAAGACTCTGCATTTCGTCAGCGTCTTCGCCTAGAAGGACTATATCGTCTGCATATTCCAAGTCAACGAGATTATTCCCGGTAGCAAGTCAATCCCTGAATCGCTGAAGTCACCTAGGGTTAAGTCCATTAACACATCTATGATGAAGTTGAATAGAAAAGGAGATAATGGGCATCCTTGACGGACACCACTGGTCGTCATCAGTTCAGATGACAGCTCGCCGTAAGCCCTCACCTGGCTGTATGAGTACGAATAGAGTGCCTTAATCAGTGCAATATATTTTCTTGGAATTCCCTTTACAGCCAAGCATCTCCAGAGAACTTCCCGATCGACAGAGTCGAATGCTGCCTTTAGGTCAAGAAATATAATGACTGTTGGACGCCGGTAGGAATGCCTATGTTCTAGAATCTGTCGGAGGGTGAAGATATGATCAATACACCCTCTTCCTGGTCTAAAGCCTGCCTGGCTCTCTCGTGTTTGTGCTTCCCGAGCACCACTCAGTCTACGCATGATTATTGAGCCTAAGACTTTAGATACTATATTAGTCAAGCTAATCCCTCTGTGATTATCACAGGAAGACTTGTCTCCCTTCTTGTATATGGGGATAATCAGTGACTTACACCAACCCGATGGGACTTCTTCTGATTCCCAAACGCTGCCTAGTACCTCAGTTAATCCGGACAGTAAGCTGTCTCCACCGTACTTAAATACCTCTGGCGTCATTCCATCAGGTCCCGCTGCTTTGCCTAGTTTCAGATTGGTGACAGCTTTAGTAACCTCAGTTAGTGACGGAGGACCTGTATCTATATCCCATTCAGGGAGGTGTTGGATGCTCGGAAGGTTGAGCGTGGCTGTGGGCAAATTAAACTGCTCCTCATAATGCTCTTTCCAACGATCCAGTCGTCTATCCTGGAGCTAATTATAGTGCCATTTTTTTCCGAGATTGTCTCACTAATGATTTGTCTTCTCCCACCCGTTTCCCTGATGAGTGTAAAGAGTTGCCTGGTGTTGCCTATCCTCAAAGCTTTCTCCATCTCTTTGGCTTTTGTCGCCCACCACTGTTCACGGTCCTTGCGGAGACTTTTCGTAAGTTTCCTCTTGTGCAGCTTTCGCTCCTCATTGAATTCGGAGCTCGCCGGAATAAGTCTTCTAGCATCTATCAGTTCGGATGAGGCGGTGGAGATCCAGTGGTTTTTACTCACCTTTGGGTTTACCTTATTCACAGCTTTTACAGCTGTATCTATGGCTGCCTGGATATTTTTCCAAGCTTCTTCAGGGTGAGCACAGCTGTCGAACACAGATATGTGTTTAGCTAGTTCTTCCTGAAATACGGATTTAGTTTCCTGATCGAGCTGGGGACGTGATGGTTTTACCGCCAGCTGTTTCCTACGTCCGTTCAGTCGTAAGCACACCCGAGCGCGGACCAGTGCATGGTCGGTATCTACGCACGTGTTCCAGAAGGAGCGACAATCTCCTACCGACCCACGCCAACGATAGCTTATTGCTATGTGGTCTATTTGTGTCCACTGCCTAATACCTTAGTTAACGCAGACAGTAAATTATCTCCACCATCTTTGAACATCTCTGGAGTCATTCCATCAGGTCCCACTGCTTTGCCTCGTTTCAGACTAGTGACAGTTTCTGTAATCCTTATAATCTAAGCAATCGTCTTTCCTCAACACTCGTTTAACTCCACCTATTATCGTTTTGGAAGTCCAAAAGTAGTAATATCAGACCTGACACCCTTAAGGTGAATTTTGCAGATTCACCTTGTTAACCGGGTAAAGTTAAGTAAATAACTACACTTGGGTCTTGTATGCATGTCTCTGAAACACAACATACCTCCATGGCTCGATATAACAGAGTTTGGACTAGTGATGCCTGTCGTTCCGATTTGGCAGAAGGTTCTGACTTTAAATGCTCGAATATGAAGTTGGCGGCGTGGACTTAAGAGTCTGTCGAGGGTGTTTCTATAGCTCTCATTGTTGTTTGTGGTGACATAATGAAATGTAGGTAACTAAATAGCCTGCAGAGTAGTACTGGCAGTAGTAGGCAATCAAAATGATGAGGGTGACGGGGATAAAGGAAGATGATAATCTGGAGGACTTCGTGTGCTTTTGGAAGTGTGCGGGCAGTCATTACTTCCCGAATGCCCAGACCATGGAAGTTGGTTTAATTCTGGGGTACTTCAGACAGGTGGAAAATTAGTGTTGCGTGGCCTCAGAGCCCAGGGGACACCTGCTTGAAGCCGGTCATACACGGCCTGTCTGAACTGAATTTTTAGTTTGGTTCCGTATTAGTAACTTACAGCCGGTTACGGACTACCGTAGGGTTCGTCGGGATGTACAGTTTTTGGGGTCGACCTTTCCTAAACCCCTTTCTCCAGACTGGAAGGCAGCATATCTGGCGTGCTGGTCATCTGAGGGAAGTACCTTATGCTATGACATCGCTGTTTCCCAGCAGTACGACTTTGGCTTCAGACCCCCTGCATATTGTAAAAAATCTTACACTATGCTGGTAACTGCTTTTAGTATAATCGCTATCCTAACAATCTTCCTGGCATAATAGGACCTGCCGGAACATTAGTTTCAGTCAGTTTAGCTTGTTGGGTCACTGCTATATGGAACCCCTACCACCATGTCAAGGTAGCAGATATCAGTCGGGATTCTTAGTGTTGCTAGAATATTAGCCAGTAAGCCTACAATCTCACAAGTGGTTTAGACTAACAGTCGGTGGCTTCGTGGATCCACCACTTGTTTGAAATGCTGGTATTGGTTATTTTTTCAAAAAACACAAACAACTGAAGGATGAGAACGTCTATGTAGACAAAAATCTACATACTGGATTTTATTCACTTAGGCATTAAAGCTGTGTAACTGTTTCATGCGTGACACAAATAAGTCTATGTACTCCTGGTGTCTTGTTGCTGATAACTAGTTTTATCTTTCATGCGTACACACACACACACTTATAGACACACATTAGTAATATGCTTACATTTGGATACATTTTGTAGTGTTGCACAATCAATCCTAGGAAAGTACATAATCTTCTTCCAATTACTATGAGACTGTTTCCATTCAAATGGTGCAAAATACATATCTGTACGTGCTGGTCGTAAGCTGATTAAATGGTTTTTATTGAAATATTTGAATAGTGTTCAACACCATAAGTACATTGTTTCGATATTCACTATCGTGTAAAGAATGCTTCAGTGAAGTAGTATGTCACCGTAATCTTTAAAACTATCCATCAAATATCACTATTGACAGTGAATATCTTAGCGAAAAGGGATAAGTTTATTGGTTTCCATTTCTGGTTAAAAAGAACCCAGTAACGCATATTTTTGTTTTTTTAGTTTACCTGAATCATTTTTCTTAAATTCTTCAAGTCTTTTAACTATTTTAAATGAAACTCAAATTAATTCTATGTGAATATTTGAAACTAATTCTCTCTGTCAGTCTATGTCAGCCTATTAGTAAATGAAAGCAAAATATTTGAAAAGAGGTGTTATTTGATTAGTTAACATACCACTAGAAAACTAATCGAATGCTTACTAGCGGTGACCTGCCTACAGGATAAAGTTGCTTGGAGTTCTAGTGAGAAGTCATGACCGATGGAGTCTACCAAGTTGCGTTTGAGACTAAACACTTGCTGATAATATTATGTGGCGGTTGTGCTATATATCGCAAATTAACAAAGGTTAGAATTATTCGGCCATTGAATTCCGTCCCAGTGTCTGAATGGTCAATGAGTCGCCTCGTAGTCGGAGGCTTCTGCGTTCGATCCCTAGTGTGGGTGTTGGTGCATGCTGATGAAGAGCCCCAAACTAGGATGCAAAAACTGTCCAGTACTCCTTAGTTTTCAGTGGCTGTCTGACTGAAGTCAATTCATGATCTAAATTGAAACTAATCGAATTCCTGCAAAACGACACTTGAACTTCAACATACTATTGATGTTTACCAATGGACATATACCACCAAGTTATCCTTTTACAATTTTAACTTTTGAGTTACTTATATATGATAGTTTGTCTTTTATTTGTTTCTAAACTTTTTTTTTATTAATTTTTAGATTGTTATAACTGGCTACTGTATTATTAGTGATTTAATACTTGTATTTCAATTCATGTATTACAAAATTCGACATCATGCTGTTCTACGACGTAAGCTAAGCCCCCTTTCTTTGTTTATGTTTATAAAAAATTCTTATTCACATTTCAATCACATCACACCTTATCTTTCAGTGACTATTATACAATTTATTTGAAATATTTATTCGACAGTCGGTTTTAAAATGCGTAAGGAAATGCATTTTGTGTCATTTATGCGATAGAGCCCAACTTACTAACGAGTAATAGTGGATGTGACATTACAATTCGACAAGCAGTGGAGTTGTTTTTGGTAGACTGATGTAGAGTATAAATTAAGAAGTTGTTAACCCTATTTCGATGGACTTAAATTTAATTTAGACATTAAGTTCACAATATTTATCACCCCATACGAAATAGTTTCGAAGTGTTATTATGTACACTAGTGTATGAGCAACACATATTGTGCACATTCGATGTTAAATAAGTGATACCGTACACAGAAAAAGTGTGAAGCAGTCCAACATACTTCAGTAGCTGGAAGCTTCATTGTTTTCATTCGTGAAACTAAAATTCAGTTATCTAGGTTACCAGTCTTTTCAGTGTACTGCGTGTGTTTGACTGGGTTTTAACATCGATATTTGCACAGAAGTGCAACGGTTAAAGTCGCCACACTCCATAAAGCATAAAAGGGCAGAGAAAGAAAACATTCAAAACAACTGTGAGGAACCAAAATGGATTTAAATGATCTAGGAGATTTCAAAGAGTGAGTGCGTCTTCTCCACTGACAACGACTGTGAGCCATATCAACATTAGTTTCCAGTCACTGGTTCTTAACGTCCCGAGGACCCCAACCAGGTAGTATACATCTCCTTATGTGGCTCAAACCAAATGTCATTAACTTCACGGATTGATTCCAGTTTTTTTTTTGGTTGACCACCCTGAACTTTTTCCAACCTAATCCTATGTGAGCTAATACTGTTCGAGAAAGGCGGTGGTTTGGTATGGGCTACACGTGTCCTAGTCATCTTAATGGATGTACCTTCACAATCCCATCGATTGACTTCCCTTCCTTACCTGATACTTTATTCCTTTCAAATTACTCATCTTACTATAGCATTGTACACGGGAGGTAGAAAGCAAACAGCTGTGATAAACAACAGGTAACCACACGAACCACATAAGCACGGGTTTTTGCTTCATAAAACACAAAATATGTGACTAATTCCTTTTTATTTGGAATGTTGGACATATAATAAGACCAACACAAAACTTTGTTCCTAAGGTATCAGTCTGATTCACCAAATTGCTAAATATGAAAATAAAATTAAGCAGGTATAGTACAGTACTAAGTAAAGATAATATGAGTGGGAGGGAAAATTAAATGCAGGCAAGTGAGACTGTTAAGGGTTTCTAAGGTGACAGAGAGTAAATATGTTTACATCATAACACATAATCCTAAACCACATCACCAGGATTGGCTTTATATTCTCTTTTCTGATGTGTCATTCCTTGATTTCTGAGTGAAACATAGGGCTTCAAACTTTCAATTTTCATTAGCGGTGTTGTTGTTTCTATGGGGTGCGGTTGTTTCCTCTAATTACAGGTTTACTATCTGCTAGGCGATTTGTAGAAGTGCATCGAACGAAAACTGAATCCGGACCTCCCTCGTGGTTGATGAACATTTTATCATTGAGCCACTGATACATGGTCTAGCGGGTTAGGATTCTTGATCCTCATCTAGGCGGTCCGAGTTTGACTGCCAGCTTGGGAGTGCTTCCGACCAACTTACATACATTAAAAACATGCCCCCTCGCCCTAAAGCATAATCCCACAAAGTTTTTTCTAGTTGTTCCACTATATTATACTATTCTGATCAATAATATAAAACTAGATGTAATACAATGCTAACCAATGGCCAATGTTTGTTAATTTTGTCCAGAAGAGTCTGTAAGCATACTACACATCGTCACATTAACTAGCAAAAAAGTCTTTTTTTACATTACTGTTGTAGAAATGGCTGCTGTTTTAAAGGAGGGTGAGATATCTCCTGTTAGAAGTACTTCACCCACTATACTTGATAATGATTTGGAACAAACTAATCAACGTCAAGAATATCAACGACTTCCAGTTTGTTTTATTGGTGTAACTGGTTTAACTTTAACAGCTGTTACATTGACTTCAATGGGAAGTATATTTAATGATTATGCGCCTCAACAACCAATTGTCAGTGGTGTTCTCCATCATTCGAGAAGATTATTAGAATGGAAAGAATATGACATGATTGAACCTGAATTTATACAATCAGATCCTTTAGATGTAAGTTGTTTTGTTGAACTGGCTGTAAAATAAGTAACACTGTTGATTCGTATTTACTATGGAAGGTAGACTTTTCAGTAAATTGCGAAATTTATGCATCCTTGATTTCATTTGTGAAGATTTGAGGACCAGTCATAGTTTTCAGACGTAGTGAAACAGTTAGTTAGTCATATTCTTTGATTTATGGCTTCCACCACTTTTCCCCACTACTTGTCTTTTTTCTTGTTTTTTATTCCTTCACGTTCCCAGTGGAACATACGGCTTCAAGCTAGAGGCTAGAGGTAAGGGATTTCGTTGGCCGGGGATCGAGCCCTGAGACACATGCGTGGTCGGCGAGAATTCTACCGTTGTGCCACTCGCTATTTGTCAGCTAACTGTAATACCTATTTGATGTGATAAAGAGAAGTTTTAACTCAGAGTAATAATTATAGCGAATATTCAAATGTCAGACATGGTAGCATGACCAACACCTCACTTAGATATTGGGAATTAGGCACAATTTGATACTGTACGCATTTATTCTTTCTTTACCAGTTTATATGGCGTTTGTTCTGTCTACATCTTTACGTATGTATGTATGTATGTATACATGCCTAACACACACACATCTTGCATATTACCTCATGTTTTTTCTCTATTATATTAGGGTGCAGTGACCAAAGTGGGATATGCTCTTGGATGGGTTTCTACATCTATGTACCTGTTGTCCAGAATACCACAAATATTTCGTAATGTATGTTTACTTTCTATTTGTAGATTTTTGAAATATATTTGTGAATTATTCAATCTGATTACAAGGTAATAATTACAAACTCAAATAATAAGCTAGTTAAGCTGACAAATTTTAGCATTATAAAAGTATGAGAAGGGGAAAAAGGGTGTTAAAAAGTTTTTTTTGGTGGGGGGGGGTTTCTTTCTAGAAGTTAAGAATTGAAAACCTTCAGATATCCTACCAGTTCGAACTATTTTATATCTTTCTGGTCACTTTTATAGGTGAAGAGTGAGTGAATTGAGTTGACTTGGTGGTATTCATTATTTTCACTCCAATCACAATCAAAGTTTATTCTGAAGTCAAAGGTCGGGTATACAATGCTTCGGTGCGGGCTGTCTTACTCTACACCTGTGAAACCTGGCCTCCGAGCTGAGGATGTGCGGCGACTCTGCATGTTCGATCATCGCTGTCTCCGCAAGATTGCTTGCGTTCGATGGCATCATCGCGTGAGTGATTCTGAGGTTCGGTGGCGTGTGTTTGAACACAGTGGAGATCACTGTTCATTGAGTGTCGTCATCTGGAAACACCGGCTCCGGTGGCTTGGACATGTGCTGCGAATGTCATCCCAGAGGCTTCCGTACACATCTGTGTTCGCTAGCCAGCCCTGGGACGGGATGGAAAAGGCAGGGGGTGGTCAGTCCATAACTTGGCGTCGTGGGATGAAGGATTTTTGTGCTAGATTAGCATCGGTTGGTGTGTCACGACTCCCTGGTTTGGGTCCGAGAGATAGCTCAAATCGATGGCTCGAAACGTTATCGGATATGGCCAAGAATCGTAATCAATGGCTAACGTGCTGCAATTTCCTTCTTTCTTCCCTTCCTGATGATGGTTAACGAGTACTGTTTGAACTTGTTAAGCATGACTGTTTTCCTTTCAGATGAAGTTCTTTATCCGTTTTCTACTTATATTTTTACTTTTAATCTATGTTTTATTATTATTGTGTGGTGCATCTTTCTTGGTGCCATAATGTACCAAGTTTTTTCTGCGTTTAAATAATAATTATTATTATCCTGAATTAATAGTAGTAGTAACATGTTTACAGACTGGCCATTGATTTTTACTGTATTTATTTCCATCTAAATATTATGGATATTAATCAATAAAATTGTAGTATTCCTTTTTAGGAAAGTCAGATGTAATCAATAGTCACAGAAACAAGATTGAATGGAAATCACGTACGAATGAAAAGAATAGAATAAAGTGTTCTTAATTGTAGGTTTCACTTTCATAGGTTTTGGCATTTATCCTTAGAAATTACCTGCATTAGATATTTTATTATACGAAATCATAGTTTAGTGAATTGCTGTCACAGTATTAATTTCTGTTTTAACATTTGTACATAAAATAAAATGATTATTTTCATATTTAACTTTTCTTTAATTAGTGGAAACGTAGATCAACTGAAGGCCTTTCAGTGTTCATGTTCTTTATGACTGTAACGGGTAATGTAGCGTACGGTTTACAGATTTTTCTTTCATCCACTGAAAGAAATTATTTAATTCGAGCTGTACCATGGATTTTTGGGAGTTTAGGTGTAGTTTTGTTAGATATGATGGTAAGTTTATCTCTATTGTTCTTTTGTCTGTATGCTTAACCTTTAGGTTAATTTCAAAGTGTACTATATCCATTTTTAATCTCCAATGCTGATTTTGTGTGTGTGTGTGTTTGTGCTTATGGTGAAGGAGGAATTAGATTTCTTTTTCTTTGGGTACCTGAAATAGAGAGACTATAAGCGTAGTGTAGATCTTATCGCCGGCTAAGGACTGCCGCATAATGAGTCGAGGTGTACATTTTTCGGGGTCGGCACCATGGCTGGCTTGCTAGCCGTCCGACGGAAAACACCTTAAAAACTCTTACATCCCTATTTCCAAACAGTGCAACTTTTTCACTAGAGACTTCCTACATACTGTGAGTGACTTACACTATGACAGTAACTGTACTTAGTCTGACTGCTATTTAGACGACCTTTTCGGCATGGTAGGTCCTGAAGGAACAATAATTTCAGGTAGTGTAGCTCGTCGAGTCATTGACATGCAAGTCCGAACACCATCACGCCAAGGAAGCAGCTATCGGTCGGGTGAACGGAGGGTTAGATTGACCACAAGGTCGATTTCGTCATAAACTGACATCTTTTAGAGAACTATTGACAAACGCCTTGTGGTTATCGAGTTACATTTATCTTTTTTATTTGTTCCAATTAAAGTTTCTTTTGGTCGTTCAGTAGGTATAGGTAAAATTGTTTAGATAGAATACTAAATTCATATTTGTTAAACCACATTATTTAATTATCTTGGGCAAGGAACAATGACACTTGTCTATCTAAATATGAATATTAGTCTGATAAGGAAATTTAGGTTTGTGAGTACTTGATTTATCAAACGAGATATCGAATTCCAGTATTTGGTAATGACTAGTAATTTTATTGGTTACAGGATTTCATCATGAACCTGGAAGGGCTGAACAGCTGTTTTGTCGTAGCTTTTTGGGACTCTTCATCAGTACACACCCACACTGCGGGGTTCGAACCCGGGAGCTTCCGGTCTCAAGGGTAGCTCGTAGGCCACTAAGCCACTGGGACCTGATCCAATGGTCCATGAATTCCATCTTCTGTCAATTCACGATGTTGCGCGACCACTAGCCAATGTCATGGACAGGTATTTGTTCTCACACCCGACGTGCTGTACCTCACTGGTCACTATTTTAGTAATTTTAAAATCAATCGCCCCAAATTACTGTCTCCTTCACTTTAACAGTAAATCCAACTTTTAAACTTGGACTGAGACAGAAGATATTTAAAATTGCTCAGTAACAAAGAAAAATCAGAATGTATTACGTAGTCGTTCGCTTAACCTCAATTATCGCTGACTGAAAGCCGAGTGCTTAAGCCAGTGAACCACATCTCCAATTGTACAGTTACTGGTGTTCTCCAGAACCGTCTGTCAAGAGTAATTCGAAAACATTCTTTGTTAAATGTCTACACTTTACCTCTACGCCTACTCTGACTCACCAAAATGTTAAGAACAAGATCTTACTGTTGGCAACTTGAATGTGTACTTATCAGTTCACTTTCTCCTGTGGAGCCAAGTACACAGGTCGTGCCAACAGGACATTCTTTGAACTTGCTCATGAACACTTATCAGCATATTTGGCAAGAAGAGAACTTGGAACAGTCAGCAGCCCAATTTCAGAGTACAGTATTACTTCTAGTTATGAAGTGTCAGCAGAAACTTCATTCAACGCCATGTGCACAGTAAGATGAAGCCAGTCAAAAGGATTTCGCTTATATCTTTCTTCTACAGATAAAGTTATTGCTATCGATAGGGAAAAATCCAGACTTTGTGTCTAGAAACCTTTTATGAAGCTGCTTTTCTCGTCATGATCTAAGTGTCAAATTTCTTCTCTTGACTTTTTGTGTGATATATTCTATGCAAATTTTTGTACTTTTGTTTCTTATCGGTCATCCCTAGTTAGCTATTCACTACCTAATTAATTAGTTATACGCTTTCTTGATTAAGTAAAGTCAATTAACTGAACTGCAGAAAGGCGAAAATTTGAATATGGTCTTCTCGGATAAAGCGTCTGACGTAATACCACATAATAGGTCCTACCATATAAATGAGGTCTCATCTTTTTTATTCATCTTCATAGCTGATGGATCGGGAGAATCTAAGTGGAAAGACTAGCACGCATCTGTCGAATCGCTGCTATATAGATCATCATAAAAGTGATTTCCGCTAACAGTTTCTCACTTCTGAAACTGTAGCTCCATTTATACTTGATTCATCGGAAATACAGAACTTAGATCTGATCAGTCTCTTTCAGAATTTCAGGGAGAACTATCCTGAAATCAGCTTTACACTAGAAACTGAGTCAAACTCGATCTGAAATTTAAAATAAAACCGAATAATTCCATCAAACAGTCTATTTTTAAGTAGCCTACTTCGATCAGGGATCCGTTCATGCGCGTCACTAATTAGATGATGAGGCATTTGGCTAAATGCGTTTTTTATCCGTGGTTGTATACTAACCGCCTTTCGGGAAAGGAGTAAGAGTGCTAGGAGCCGCAACCAGCGCCTGCTAAGCAGTCCCAGAAGCGAACTCAATTCTTTACCAAGATCTCGCACCCCTGGTGCACACTCCTCCGGCCAGCACACTAAGGAACATCTATCTCAGAGACCTCTGCGCACTGGAGCCAACCGACCTTGACTCATGAACCGAGATCCCACCTACCAATCCACACCCCACTACATGAAACACTGCTTGATTATGGCCTTGGCTGACGACTACACCACGTCGTGCTTCGCGGTTCGGGTTACCATATCTCACAGCCACCGACTAACCATATTGGTCCTTGCCCTCTCATCAGAAATCCACGAGATCTTGGCACCACCGATGCCCCGCACAACCCCTGATAAATCAGGCCAACCGGGTAGCACCGCTGCTACATCCAGACTGAGTAACAAGACGCCAGTGTTGTTCCATGTTTGCGACAGGTCTTAGCAGGAGCTCGGGTATTTAGCCGATAGGCCCCACCCGGTGGTCGCCACGAGGAGGCGCCTGACGCATGCAACCATAACCCATCCCGCCTTTCCCCATGCCCGGTTGAATTTCTTCACGTTGACATTCAGAGCACTGGGCGGAACTGGCGTAGCCAAATGTAGACTTAACAAAGGAAGCCGATATTGGAAAAACATACGATGGTCAAAGGATGTCGGTCCTCGCACCACATGTAGGGCCACTCTGCTAAGCCTTTCAAAGCATAGATGACGAGGCATTTGGCTAGTTCGGTTTCACGATCTTTCCTGCTGTGCAGGTCGACCATCGTCACCAACCCGGTGTTCTGGATTGGATTCTAAAGAGTGCGCTTGCATGAAAACGGTGTGCCAGCTAGGTCCTGACACTCCTTCTAACGGAGAAGGCCCCACTGTCCCTAGTCTTCTACTCCAAACCGTCTAAGTGGGGACGGTATCAAGTACCCGACCTAGGTTGCCCACCACTTAAACCAACCGGATCTCACCACGCACCCTTCTCCGCTGTCTGCCAACCCAGTCCACACCGCCCGCTTGCGCGAGCGGTGGCACCCAGGGCATTTCAGCCCTTTAGTGCTTGCGTGGTTAGCAAGCAATTGTCCGAGCTTCAGAACCAATCATCTCATGAAGATCCTTTACACACTCGGCCAGACTGGGTTGGTTTAAGCATCATCAAAGGGCTGTTCGATACCGGTTGCTGGCGACGCAGCGCCAGGGTTCTAGCGTTGTAGCCATCCCCCCTCTTCGTCTAACTCCATCTGTAGGGGTAGAAGATAGAAGCCCAATTTCTAGGGTTTCAAGACCAGTAATTCGTATCGCCTCACGGATCCGTTTGGAGGGAATATTAACTCCTATCATAAGATACTACGTGGGATACGTTCTTCCTGATCTTGCTATCCTAGTAATTGCGTTTCTATGAGAATATTAATGTTAAGAGAAACGTACCTTTCTGAGGGGCATGGCTGTCTGTAAAGGAAAGGAAGCATGGCATGCAAATAACCAAAAATTGTCAAACTTACCTCTGTTCATCTTCCAAGTAGAAGCCGTAGTAACATTTGAGGGATCCGACGATGGTTAGTAGGCAGAGGTCGGAGAGTGTCATTTTCGATAGTCCTAGTCTTGTCATTGCCCGTTCACTGCCCTCGTATAGGAGTCCTTTCATGCTGATGATGAAAGGGTAGTGGAGGAATCTAACTACTGTAATCCCTGTGGTCTTCTTTATATGGTCCCTCAGTTTCCTGTTCCTGTCGATGTCGTCATACTTACGTACTTTTGTTCTCCAGGATTGCCGTAGAGTATTATCGTTTGTCACTTTAACGTCGATGACATAGGCTGTTCTGTCCTTAATTGCAACAATGTCGGGTTTGAAGTATGTACCAAAGTATTTCACGTTTGGCTCCTGTAGTACCTTGTAGCTTTTCTTCTCGAAGGCATCTGCTAAACTATGAACTATCCTGTCGTGCCGAGCAATCCTTGGCCTATATGTTATCCGGCATCTTTGTAAGATGTGTGATAGGTTTTCCTTGTGCCCACTACCGCACCTGCAACGCAGGTCGATTTCCCTCCCATCCGTCGCGCGTCCTCTTGATGCCCTTACCTTGGTACCTAGTAGGTTCCCCTAAGTTGTATCCCTCTAATGAAGATTCTTGGGAAAATTGTGTCCGTCTTCCGAAGCCATCTATGCGAGACCCGAGTCTTCGGGGCGTCCTTCATACCTATACCATCCTTCTTTCCCAACCATTCTTCTCTCTAAGCCTTCGCCGTTTCTATCTTATTTGCATATCTCCTTCCTCCTATTATAGCCCCCCTTGACCATAATCTGATAGTTGGTTGCATCGCCGCCTTTTTCATTGCGGCTTGAACCGCTGGACATGTGGACGATTGTAGGGTTCTTAGGCGTGCTATGCGTCTGACTGGAACAGCTGTATGGAGGCATTCTATGCCTAATCCGCCGTCTTGGATGGTTGTGTGAAAGTAGGCGTTTGGGGTATCCTTCGGTAGGTGCAGCCATTGCTTCACGCGTATG